TGTCTGTTTCCTGTCCTAACATGTTTTACAATTTTCATAAACAAATGATTAAAAATGTTGGAAGGTTGGATACTATGGATAAAAAATTTGCAGTGTCTTTGTTGAAATAATTGAAGATGGTGCAGACTAACTAACAAGTGGTAGTAGTAGAAACATATTTCATTTAATCTCGAACATCTCAGTGCACCAGTTTATACAGTACCCACTCCATGCTCACCTGACCACATTACATGCGTCCTATTGTTATGATGTTGTCATTGTTGACGTAATTTAATCATTGATGTGATAATTAATGTCATGTTATAATCTATGGTAGAGATGTGTCATCATTGTTATTATTCTTAAAGTATTGTTGTTTAAATTTTGTTTAAAAACAGTTGACAAAAACATCCTCCAGTATTAAATGAACATTTCAAACCTGTTGAATATTTCAAACTTGTTGAAAAAAAAGTCTGAACCAAAAATCTCATACCATCACAGTCTGCAACGACATTCTGAAAAAAGGCTTTCGATATGATTTGATGAACAAAATGATTTTCAAAACGATCGTAAAAAAATTGTGAAACAAACTTAATTTATGAACTGAAAAATCGTTCATAACTCTAAAATGACATTTATATTGTGTTCCTTTTATTGTTTAAATGGCTTTGGGAGATGAGTTGATTGTCGACCGCACACAGCCATCCTGTACTTCATTTTATGAAACTTGTTAGGTTGAATAAAATACTTCTTGCTATTTTTCTTATTCTAATTAATCACCAGACATTCTTTGTTGCTATGATCGGTACTGTGCTGATCATCTAGCATCTTTTATTGCAGTATGAAAAGTTTTTAGTTTGAAAAAAATCTCTTTTAAAAAAAGTTATCACAGGCAGCAATGAATAATTCAGCTGGAGTTATGCAACGAAACACAATTGAATTAAATTTGTCGTAAATTTCAAAATTATTAACGGAAAAATATTTGAAACATTAAAAAATATATATATTTTTTCAAAAATTAATTTACATATTTTTCTCAATAACTGACAAAACAAAAAGTTTCCAGATAAATAAAATAAATGTTTTACATCAAATTTGCACCGCTTGGTGGCAAACCAAATATGTAAAACTGAAATTCATTTTCAAATTTTCGAGTTTTATCAAAAAATGTTATTTTTGAATTAAAAAATACATTTATATAAGTTGATATATTGTAACATAAAAATACAGTAAAGTAAAAATAATTGTTATACATGAACTTTTTGGAAAAGCTTTTAACCATTTTATCGCAATCTACTTATGGGTAGGCCTACTTATATTTTGAAAATTTATTGTTTTGTTCAACATTTTTATCATCATCAATTCACTCTATATCACTGCAGTCAATAATTTCGTCATCACAATCATTATTCCATGATCATTGTTATCATCATCATTATTCTTCCCATCATCGTCGTCATCTTCACGATCATTATATCATCTTCATCACCGTCATCTTCTTCTTCATCACCATCTTCATCAAAATCTTCCTCATCAACGTCATCATTCTTGGCACCACCAACATCACTGTCACACCCCCCTACACCATCATCAACATCGTCGTCATCATCGTTGTCGTCGTCACCTCCATGAAAACATACAAACATTAATATTACCTCCATTGGGGTATCGTGAGCAAATGTTTGCTTAGCAGAAAGAGTGCATGTTATTAATGATATCACCATGTTGTTGTTGTTGTTATTATCATCATTTCAAATATAGTTAATATTATTAATACTATTATTATTATTCTTATTATTCTTCATATTATTACTGTTATATCTTTTATTATTATTATTAATGTTGTTGTTGTTATTATTATAATTGTTATATATATATATATATATATATATATATATATATATATATATATATATATATATATTTACAGGCGGACCTTATATCGTTATTGCTACTATCATTCATTGATCATGTTCCCTGCTTTCGTGATTGCCATCCGCTCCACTAATCCGATCGTCATTGTTATCACTATCACTATCATCATCGTCGTCATCTTGACCTCATTTATTTGACATGACCTACTTTTTGGTAAGGTTTAATGTGATATGTAAGTGAAGTTATATTATTGCCAGTACGGGTGGCTTATTAGCGTAAAGTGTAAAGACGCTAGGTCCATCTCTGCAGATGTGCGAGATGAACTGTCGTTATTATTATTAATATTCTTTTTGAAATATTTATAATTATTATTACTATTATTATTTTTATTCTTTTGAGGCCTGGTTCAATTGCAAGCAAGATCTCAAATAATCATTAGCAATGTGGTTGATTCGTGGTTTCAACAAGAACCCACGCTCCTTGGAAACAAGTGCAATGGGTGATAATGACTTTTAACCTTTCAACCTGAGTGCCTCATTTTGCGAGGTTGTTTGTTTCGAAGAGTAGCATACAGCATTTGTAACACGTCCCAAAAATGTCGTGCTGTGTGGTTTGGAGTGAAAGGCGTAAGGAGGATGTTACAACCTGATAATTATTTATTTTATTTAATCATTCGTTGGTAGAACCAGGCTGTCAGAAGATATATCACAAAACTTGAACTACAGTGTCTATGATTAAATATGACTGAGTAAGGAAAACGAATGATACCGATATGAAATCCAAATGTGCCAATGAATTGGTGACAGTGGATGCGGTTCGATTGTTCCTTCTAGCAATATGAAACAGCACAAGCAGTGGAAAGTGCAGTTGTAATATGAAGATTGGACGCAAGAGAACGTCGGTAGCCACCTTTGATGAAAGTAAATAATGAGAAGTTACATTCCCAGGTTCATTGATGCGGTTGAGGTTGGGAAAGTTGATCTAAATTGATTGTGCAAACATGCACAAAGATATCGAAACACATATATTAATATAAACAGAGAGTAGTTTTTGGTTGCTGATGCAAATAAGAAGCACACACATGCATGCATACAAAAGTGCATGAAGATATATAAACACAAACAAACAACAAACAAACAACTAACACAGAGAGTGAACATTCTGAAAAAATAAATCCATTAAAAAAACATCTCCAAAAAAATTAAGTTGGGTGAGTGCAATGTAGGCTGAGAAAAAATTAATAAAATTAAATAAACGAAGAAAAAAACACATGAAGGAAATGCATTGAAATGATAGGCATTTATTAATTTTGACTCAGTTATTTTTAATAACGCCAATCAAATAAATGGCACTTTGCAGATAGGATGGATGTGTCACTAGAAAGTTAGAAATGTTTAAACATATTTAACAAGTTCATTTATCCCTATTGTAAATAATTCAAATTTCTTTAAATTCTAAAATATAGAAACGTTTCCGCAATTTTCATATAAATTTTATTTTTTTGAAGTTGCACCAAATTTTAATTGTCGATCAGAGCAGAACGTTCGTTGGTTTCGCAGTGGGACCCATCCGGACTGGAATCCTGAATAACAGATTCATTCATGTTAGCATGGAAGGACATTTGATAACATGTGTGAACATTCACAGGAGATGCCAAAAAAAATTTTTAAAACAAACAAAAGGTTGTTAGCACGTGGATTGCCTGCCGGCCTACCTGCTTTGCTACTTTAATTTATTGACGGGTTTCATTAGAGGGATGAAGCAAGCAGGCACAAGCAGGAGTTTTGCATTGTTTCAATTTGGATACAAGTTCTTGCAAACAAAATGTCTCGTTGATGTGAGCGTTATTCAAAACTTTTATTAAATTTGAAACATGTTTCAAAAAATGTTATAATTTCGTTCTACTTTCAAACAGTGCCTGTCACTCGTAAACCTCTCAACCACCTCATGCCACCAAACTAAACAACAACCACATTCAACCAGATCGGTTTAGTATTTACAACAACTCCAATTGAACCAACAAAATAATTATTTCAGATAGTTTTCGCATGTTTTCGCTTTCACCAATCTAACATGAGACGCTGATTTAGAATGAGTTTGTCATTTCAATGCAGAGCTAGAAAGTTAAACACTCTGTTATGAAAATTTTAATCTATTTTCACTTGAACTTGAATATTTTTATATCAGCCAATATAGGTCTGCAAAGATCAATGAGTAAACAACGACAACAATAATGATAATAATCGTGGGAACAAAATTCAATAACAATTATTAATAATGACTCATCAGACTAGCTGTCATCTTGCCATTGAAATATGTTTCCATTATAAAATGTAACAAGCGGAAATAAAAAAAGAATCAAATGAAAAAACAGAAACGGCCATGCCCCACCATGCACTGCTGCTAGAAAATCAAATTTATTGATGATAAAAAGGATGGGGATTTTATCATCATCGCATCGGTGACGAATTTCGGAATGAGGAAAATTTTCAATTTGTTGCATGTTTTTAATGTTGCATTCATCATTCCATTCTATAGACATTGTTCTCTTCTAAAAGTGAACATCAGCGTTTGGATTTATTATTTCAATCATTGATATCAATAGTTAAATGGCTTCCAACATAGTCGCCACATCATCTTTGTTATCATCTCTGAGGATTTCTTCTTATTTCTTTAGAATCGTCATCAGCCCTTTCACGAGTGACCGAAGAATAAGGGTGAATGACCTGACAGGAATTTGTCATTTCCTTTTAATGTATTGCATTTCCTCTCTCTTCATTCACTCATTCACTCACTCTTTTATCCAACTTCTTCCTTATTCTCTCACTTTTTGATATAATCACGTACTCGTTCTTTCATTCATTTACTACTTCATTTATTCGTTCAGTCACACGCTCCCGTGCTTCTGCTTTTCGTTGTTATTTTAAATTTTATTCAAAAATTCATTCATTCAATCATTCAACCATTCATTCAATCATTCATTCATTCATTTAATCATTCACGGATTCATTCATTCAATCAATAAATAAATCATTCATTAATTTATTCACACATTTTGCATTTCATACATTCACTCTGTTTACACATTTATTTGAAATTTTCTAGAAAAATATCAGGTGAAGGCAAATATTTTTATTGCCTTTTTGTTATTCCGTCATGTTCATGTTCAACATCTGTGTGTTCATAGTATTATAAATACTTCAAAATAAGAAATAAAAACAGCTGATTAGCAATAAGTTTTAGAACGTTCGCAAATAAAGGCAAAAGAAATGATTTATATAATTAAGTTAGACATTTGAAGAAAAGTGTAAGATAGGATATTTCATCAATGTTTGTTTGTTTATCGCATCCATGCATTCAGTTCAGATGCCTGTGTTTGCACTGCTTCATGTTTCAATGGCCAACCTCGCTTAGGTGATACAATATGATACAATAGGATGTAATATGATACAATATGATACAAAAGGATACAATAAGATACAATATGATACAATATCCATTTGTTCTGTTTCTGGTTATATACTCATATATTATTTTTAAGGTCACTATTTAATGAAAGGTTTTAAAATCATATTTCTATTGGAGTGTGCAGCAAGTATTGTGAAACACGTGACAACTAGAGATGCAACCAGGATGTTGATTTTGGAACTGCAAACCATTCTAAAAAAGCTGTTCTGAAAGTACTTTATAAATTACATTAAAAATTTGTAAGTTTATCTTCAAATTTAAAATGTAAAATCAATATTTTTTGTTTTTTTTTGCGAATTGCTTTCTGCTCACGAATGCAAAAAATTAAAGTTCGCCTATCTAAGTGAAACTTTTTCACTCAAACATTTTCTTCAAAAACCTCAGCGACAAAAGGCATGTATTAGCAAGGCGGCCATGCAATTGAGCTTGCGTCTCATTAACTTGCCACGCGTGACGACTTGCAGAGCTTGTGTTCATCACGGATGGTGTAACTTGAGGCCTACTAAGGCATCCTTTCTCTTCAAAATATCACCCACTTAAATGTGCCGAGTATAACTGGTCTAACGCTTTTTACATTAATGATAGGTGCTTACTAATCTCACTTTTCATTCTTCATTTAATAGTTAGACTTGATGTTTATCATCATTGCTTAAAAAATGATAGAATAACATCCGCAAAAACAAAAAACTATACCAACCTTGCCACCACTGCCATCACCTCTGCCACAACCACCACAACCGCTACTATCACTACTACCACTACCACCAACAGCAGCCACAATAACAACAGCAGCAGCAGCAAGACCACCCCTTATATTTATATAACGAAACGTGGCGAACGACCTGTTGCGTTCGTTGATTACACGACTCATTTGAGACTGGCTGACTTTGGCTGCATGCATAATTTATTCATTCACTTGCAACACATTATTTTCAACAAACATGGACTATCAACAACCCACACAAACACAAAAATATAACACGGCACCATCAAATATCACTCACGCACACACACACACACACACGCCACACACACACACACACACACACACACACTTTACTAATTAACAAACTAATAACAACACACGAACACAACACACACATTATCACAAAAAAAAACACAAACAAACTAAAATAAAAAATATTTAGAAAATTTGTTTGCAGAAAATAAGTTAAGTGATTAATAGGTTTCATTTGATGGCATTTGTGTGGCATCTCACATATTCATATCGTGAGTTTGAATAAGATTGGTCAGAATAAATTTTAATACATTAGCATAATTTATGTTCACTGTATACAGGCTTCAGCGATGTTTGTTGCGAATGAACATTACAAAATGCATCACGATGTTTGAAACTAATGTGTCGTTCATGCTATTACCGACTTTCCGCTTCGTTTTCACGTCTTATCTGCGTTGCTAATATTGCGGAGTAAGTGTTATGTTCTGACGGTGGCTCGCGAGTACCTGGTGCAAATGTTCTTTACGTGTGATCAGAAATATTAAATTCAATTTATTTCATTTATTTATTGTTCATTTAAATTAAAAGATCTTCTTGGTAAGTTTTTAAAATCGGGATGTTATTTAGAAATATGATCATTAGGTTTTCTGGAGTTTGATAGTTCAAGATAATACTTGAGTGAATAATTTGACATTTTGATGAAGTTATTTCTATTCAAAAGAAGGACTCAGTACAATGAGGATATCATCCCGTAAGATATGTCTTCTTGTTTCATTTCTACCCCGTCATAACTCAGGACGTTTCAGCAAGAGACAGGCAGTTGAGGCATACAAGAGATCATTCGTTCTTTAGGACATCATAAATAAGCAATTCAGTTCTTAAAGTTCTTTCGAGATTTCTGCAAAAAAAAACTTTGCAGTTCATTTATGTACAAATATAATTGGGGTACCTATATGTTGCTGTACGTCTGTACGTACACGCGTGGTGCACGGTCTGTGTACATTTTTGTATATCTTTGTATGTATGTATTTACATTATATATATATATATATGTGTGTGTGTGTGTGTTTGTGTGTGTGTGTGTATTTGTGTATGTATATTTTATATCTGCTTGCGTGTGTTCACGTTTCAAACACGTTGAATGGGCACATTGAAACATCATATTTGGCATTAGAAAATATAAGATGTCTTCAGAAAATTATTGTAACATTATCTTCATGTTTATTGGACTACCAAACCATACAACAAAATTGGTTGAGCTTTGTTTGAAACTTGTCATTAGAACATTAATTGTAAGTCTTCCCCTTGGTCTCGAGTCTTCAAGCATGTCTCATATTGCAACCGGGAAATAGATTGAAAATATTTCTGCTTACAAATAGAATATAGCTCAATATTATTAATCTGGCAACGCATTCGAAGCGCATTAAAAAATTCTCTGACAACATTTCAGTTAAGTCAAAGGACAGTAGTTTCTAAAATAATGAAAATTTAAAATATTATAAGGTTACGTAAAATAAAGATGCAATTTTTTCATATCGTCTGAATTATTATCTTTCCCGTGAGAAGGTCGCTGAATGACCTACGACGTTACCAGCAAGGTCAACAAGGTCACGACCCACAAACGAACGAAGACTCTATTTAGTGAGAGTCGTTACACAGTGCAAGCACGATAAATTAATGTAAGTAGATGTCTCAAGCAGACCAAACCAACGATGACACGAAGCAGGTAACATAACATGCTGCAGCAAATGTTGGAATTCAACAGGCGGGTGCAAGGTGGGCCACAGCGACGTCATTTTAGCTTCCTGTTTTTCTATCTGAACGGTTTTCTGCTGTTTTTTATTCTGTGACTTTTTTTCATTTTGTCAAACTACGTTCTTACATGCTTGCATAACTGTCCTTCTAAATGTTTGTCCATCTGTCGTTTTATGGGTTCCGATCCTGAATATTAGCATGTTTTTATTGACAGAAATATTCTACCGTAAAATGTCCATTAGAAATAATGCCTCCTTGGTCGAAAATGGTAGTTTTCATCCTCACATCTTCTATGATCGTATCATAAAAAGTCAAAAGAAACCAACTTGATTTGAAATTTTTATATGTTTGTGTAGTTTATATATATTTATTCATTCATCATTTGTGTTTGTGTTTATTTTTAAGAATGTGTGAATGTGTATGTGTGAAATTGAATGATTGTAGGAAAAAAATTCTTCTCATCATCATCACATTTTATTAACAAAAATATTTTCGAAGCAAACGCAGTTAACTTAATTGCACATAATTTGACGATGATGTTGCTTTTCGTTATGTTTTGTGGCAGAGAAAATATTGATCAAATGAGAAAGTTTCTCAACGCTGAATTATAAAAAAAAATGAATAAAATGCAATTACGAATAAAATTAAAGAGAAGCTATCAATCAGGCGATCAGTCCCAGCTGCCTGCCATCCTTTAAACAACCATCAACAACAACTCCCTTTCATACCACATCCACGTACATACGTACGCTCGCATGTGGAATGATTCAAAAAGAGACATAATAAACTTTTTTTCATACAAAATTGGCCGATGTTTCGAATAGGTAAAAAATTTTGTAATTTCATTCCAAAACATGAAAAAGGATGAGACATGTACTACCGAAGTGCAGATGCGAGGACTTTGAGGCAACAGTTTCCCAGAAATAACATTCTTGTCGTTATTTCTGTATTTGTTTTGTATTTAATTATTCTAATCTTACTTTGCTACAGCACATTTGAAAAAACGGGAGTTCCCACATTATGTAAATTTGCATTTTAAAAAAGAAATTTCATTTTTGTCAATAATTCCACTTTTGAAAGCCGTCCAAACTACTTTGCTTTTGAAATATGAACAGGAATTATGAGACGAACTGTCAAAATGTTTTCGGTTTGAGAGCATTAGAACACACACACACAAACATTGAAAAAAATGTTACAAAATTATCCTTGGTTTAAAAACATTCATTGACGAACGTACAACATGGAGTGTTCTCACAGCAGGTTTATAAATATTTGGCGACGCTTCCAAAGCATGAGTGGCAGTGGGTAGAATTAAGTTGAAGTTTCATCTGATTTGCAATAATTGATGAGTTGATGAATCTTGCCTTTGTTTGATTGAAACTGATTTCTGAAAAGTTTGATGTGATTAACAAAACCACTCTTTCAATGTCATTTTATTATTCTATGGATATTTTATTAAAATTTCATTTAAAAAATTACTGATTGTGAATAAAAATGTTAATAAATGGTTTTAAAAAATCGGCATTATTTTTTAAACAACATAGTTTTCGTTTAGTTGATTGTGTCTCGATTACCACGTAGCACCTGTCACTATCGTAATATCCATCATCATTATCAACGATGTCAGTATGGATATCATGATACATTATCATCTGTGTGTCAACAGTAATCATCATTATTGTTATGCCATATTTATCACATCAACATATCTTCATCACCATCTTCACCACCATCAACGTCATCTTAATTATCTTCATCGACGTCAGCATCTTCATTTACATCATATTTTCATTTGTCATCATCGTCGTCGTCCTTCTCATCATCATCATCATTATCATCATCATCGTCATCATCGCCTTCAACATTATCATCATTACTGTCCTTAATATTATCATAGTCGTCCTCATCATCATCATCATCATCATCATCATCATCATCATCATCGTCCTCCCCATCATCATATAATCATCAACGTCTTCAACATCATTATCAACGTCCTCAAAATCATCATCATCATCGTCTTCAGCGTCATCATCATCATCGTCTTCAACATCTTCTTCAACATCATCATCACCACACACACACACACACACACACACACACACACACACACACACACACACACACACACACGATTTCTAGTTATAATGCTTATACGAAATCCTCGACTGCATTGTTTGTGGAGTTTTATGAGTTACGAACGTGCAGTTGAAAGCCATCGTTGTCGAATGTACCGCAACACTCCAATGATTCAGTAGTGACAATGTTTGTTAATTGAAAACGACCTAATTTATTTCGTCCGTTGTGTAATGTTTGACACAGAGTAACAAAAATCTTAACTTTTCTAAGCAATAACGTTACAGAATTTCTTCATTATTTTTTAAAGATTTCTAATTAGTGTTTTAAAAAAATTTTGAATAATTTTATTATAATTTAAAAAAAATTTATTTATTTTCAACGGAAGGTTTTAGCAAAAAGAGCCAAAGAAACGCATTCCACGTACGTCTCCGTTGAAAATATTAAGGTGAAAAATTGCTTAGTGCATGTATTTGTGTGTACATATACCTGTGTGTGAGAGTCTGTGTTTGTGTGTTCGTATGTGCCTATGTGTGTTTTTGCGTTTGTTTGTGTGTGTGTATGTATGTGTATATGTGTGAATTTGTTGCTTTGTGTCTGTAGATCCGTATGTCTTTCAGTATATTTGTGTGTTTGTTTGTGTGTGTGTGTGTGTGTGTGTGTGTGTGTGTGTCTGTGTGTGTGTGTGTGTGTGTGTAACTGGATGATCTAATTGTTGTATTGTTTAGTTGACGAGATACGTGCGAGTTGGTGGTGAATTAATAGTCTCAGGTTTTTTTTTAATTTGTCAAATTAGCAGAATATTCGCGGGCGTTCAGTCTTAGTAATTATAAATAATTGTTCACAATTTAAAAATTATTTCTAGGATATTAAATAATTATTTATAACATATTAAACAATTAATCATTTGATTGTTTAGTTTTTTACGTTACTCAGTTGTTATTAGGCATTTACGTAAAATAATAAGTAGTCATTTAGATATTTATTTATTTATAGTTACTTTTATTTTCCATAATATTTATCACTTCCAACAGTATTCTTACCCGAATGCAAAAAATCTCAGCCTATCAGAATTCAGACTTCAGAGCAACAAAAACTTTGAGAAGAACCTGGTGAACGTGCAGCAGAGCTCCGTTCAGATCCCAACCAACGTCTTCGATGAAGGTCCTTCAAGTTTCTTCTTTTCCTTTTCCTGTTACTTTCCATAGTTTACCTTTTATAAATTATTTCTAACTTTATTGCGAATTTTTCAAAAATGTTTTAGTCAATATATCATCATCATCTCATCATCATTCTCATCATCAGCTAATATATCAAATTTTACTATTTTCATGAAAATTTTAAAAAACGTTTGTCAAAACAAATTTATTCATAAGACAAAAGTCTAAGTATTTTTTTTTAATATTATATTAAACGTTTTCAAGCTGTAATGATCAGTTGTAAGCTGATTTGTGTTTCCTGTTATGCGAGCGAGTTCAGCAACTGGCCTTGTTTCGAATCAAACTTTTGTGATACAAACAAGAAAGTCAGCGTACACACGCACACAGCGTACATGCACGTGCACTCACAACAGCCGCGTTAAAACAAAATTCAATCGGAGCGAATATTTAGAATTGAAAGAAGCATATTTGTTGAAAATATAATGATTGAATAAATAATTAAAGCAAATATACAAATCCTAAATATACAAATCCTAAATATACAAATCCTAAATATACAAATCCTAAATATACAAATCCTAAATATACAAATCCTAAATATACAAATCCTAAATATACAAATCATAAATATACAAATCCTAAATATACAAATCATAACTATACAAATCATAAATATACAAATCATAAATATACAAATCATAACTATACAAATCATAACTATACAAATCATAACTATACAAATCATAACTATACAAATCATAACTATAAAAATCATAGATATACAAATATAAATATCCACACCACCTCATCGTCCTCATCTCGCACCACCAACACCTCCCTCCGTCTCCAGTCAGTGACGTAATGAATGCCATCGCCTGGAGTAGCCACCTGGACGAGGCCTTCATGAGGAACGCCCAACAACACGCCAGACTCAAGTGGCAGTACTTCTGTGGTGTCGATGGTCATCTCAGGATATTTCCCGGTTGGTGACGATGATGATGTTTATGATGATGACGACGAGATTGATGATGATGATGATAATGATGATGATGTTTATGACGAGATTGATGATGATGATGATAATAATGATGATGTTTATGACGTTTATGATGATGATGACGATGATGATGGTGATGACGACGAAGATGATGATGACGATGATGATGATGAGGAGGAGGATGAACCGAGCAGATGATAACAGAAATGACAACAGTAAATGCGAAGTCACATAACGAGATTTTTATAACGATCATAAAATTAATTATGGACCTTTTACGACATGTTAAGAAAACAAACCGTTTTTATTATTTTGCAAGCAGGATGTGGAGTTTGGAGGTTCTGAAGCAACAAAAAAACTGAACTCCCGTAATTTTAAAATAATTTTTAAAAGAAAAAAAATAATTGTTTTCTTGTTACGTCTTTTGCTGTCAGGGGAGCAAAGTTTTCCAGCAAGAAATGTAATTATCTGTTGGAGTAAAATCTAATTAATTAAAACTTAATTGCCTGGCGCGCTGTCGAACAAACAAGCACTATTAAGTCTGTGCATTATGATTTTAACTATTGTATCCGGTGTTGAATGCAATAGGAATTATTTTGTTGAGGAAATATTTTAATTTTAAAAAGAAAAATGCAAATTAAACCTTAACGAAAGCAGCATCTAAATCATTCCCCTAGCCTCATTCATCATTTCTACAATTCCACTTTCCGCCATTTTTGTTTTATTTCCTTTTCAATATGAAACGCGATTTGAAAAATGTTCGCTGGCTTTCTTCGGCGGTCTGTACTGTTGTGAAGCATTTCATTAACGCCTTTTTTCGTCTATTTTCTATGAAAAATTTTTTCATTTTTTCGTGAATGTTACATTCCTACTTACATCATCGCCATCAATTCTTTCGGAACATTTTTTGCTACACAGACATTGAAATTTTATGTCATAAAATAAATAAATTTGCTTTTTTTGCAATAATTAAAAACTTGTTTTCTTGTAAGGTTGTTAAGCGTGAAATTTGAAATCAGGTACGTGGCTGATCTGTTGAAACATACCTTTCGACTAATTTCACCATTTGATGACGCATTGTACCATCATATACTTTCTACCTTTTTTTTATAAGAGGGCAACTTTTTATTGCTGGGACAATTTGAAACTTCATCCAAATCCACACTGACGTCATCGTCACTGTCATCATCATCATCATTTTGATATCATCATCATCTTGATATCATCATCATCATCTTGATATCATCATCGTCATCCTGATATCATCATCATCATCATCATTATCCTGGTATCAGTATCATCAACATCATCATCATAATACTGATATCAATATTGTCATCATCATCATTCTGATACAGTATCATCATCGCTGCTATCATTCTTATATTAATAACTTCATCCTAATATTAACATCACCATCAAGATATCATCATAATCACCCTCATGATATCATCATCATCACCCTCATAATATCATCATCATCACCCTCATAATATCATCATCATCACCCTCATGATATCATCATTGTCACCATCATGATATCATCATCATCACCATCCTGACATCATCATCGTCACTACTATCACGTCAGCAACACAGTTTCCAAGCATGTTTAGCGCTGAGACGGATTAACAAAGTAATCCCAGATCGGCTGCACTCACTCACTCAAGAGACTTCATCATCATCATCATTATCATCATTACCATCATCATCACCATCATCGTTGTCATCATCATCATCACCACTAACGTCATCTTACCTATTTTTTTAATTATTTAATTAATTAATATTTATCTGGCAAAATGTATTTAAATAAAAGTTAGACAAAATTAAATAAATAATAAATTTGTAGTGGCTGTTTTGACAGCTGCGTGGAGTTCAATTAGTGCAACTGGAAATGTTTGAAACAACTTTCAATTAATGGTGGTTAATGAGAGTCCGTCAACTAAATCATCCATGGTGACTTCCACCATCTTCTAACAAAAGGTTCAAATCAAAAAATACGCCTCCAAATTGAGGTCTTCGTTCTTATGTTACATCAAACTGCACTAACCAGTGGGTGTGGGTTCTACTTAGAAGTTCAATCGTTGGGCTCTCTCTAGAAATTTTTTGTGTCATTTGGTTAAGTATTTTAGTTCATAAGCACAAACATCAGAACCCGTGCAATCAAACTTATCAAAGTCGTAAAGACACACTCGTACTCTCAAACAGTCTTCGTGAAATATGCAGCACGTGAGGAGCCGCAGACGTGTTTCCATGTTCTCTTCAAAATTATCTCTCCCACATTTTAAAATTTAATCCAACATCTTTCCGCGGTTACATTTATTATTCATCAGCGTGCATGGGAAATCAATTTTAAAATTAAAATGCTTTGAAAAAAATAACGTAAATTTAAAAACCACTTGAGTCGAGTTGTTAGAAGTTACTTGAATAAAGAACGAGTAGATTGTGTGTGTGCATAACTTATATGCTGCATTAATGATTATTTATTTGTATTATATCAAAATATATCCATGTAAGATGTAATGATTGCAAGCACCGTGCCCACGTGTTTGTCTGCGTGCCTGTGCGTCTCTCTCGCTGTAAATACGTTTCATCTTGTCGGGATGTCTCAGTTCGTTTAATGACATGCCAGATAAATATCATCAGTTATGTGGTGCATTTGTATGAGGGACTTCCAGTCAAGCTGAGTCTGATACTGCTGTCGCGAGGAGAGAAAGAGAAAAAGAGAAAGAGAGAGAGAGAGAGAGAGAGAGAGAGAGATAAAAAGAGAGAAAGGGAGAGAGAAAAAAGATAGAAAAGGGGAAAGAAATGAAGTTATTCAAATGAGCAGGTAGATTAAATGATGTACCACAGGCTGCATGAAGACATTCGTTGCCTGGATATGGAATTCTTTCTGCATTATGTCCCACTGTTGTTATTATAATCTATCACTCGCTATTAAAACTCTTGCTCGCATATCTTTTAATTTCAAATTAAATTTTTTCAATTGTTAACTTATTTTAAATTCTGTGGCTATCAACAACCATCTTGCTGTAATTTTTTTTAAATTTAGCCGACATGTATTGTTTAACTAATACTAATACCTTGTTTACATTAAAACACAGTTTTTACACATAAAATATTTAATTAAAGAAAGAAAATTGAACACAAAATTGTGTGATAAGCTAAAAAGGTCTCTTAATATTCCCGGTTTTTGCCCCCCTCCGTAGTACCCTGGCCTCCCCCCTCAAGTTCCGCCGGGTTAATATCCTCCTTTTGCTGTTTAGTCCTTTGTTGTATTCTATTTATTTATTTCAATTTTGGTTTATCGTCTCCGTTTATTGTGAATGATCAGATCCAATTATTCTTCATTTTTGGTTCTACCTCCATTAAGTCCAATCGAAGCTGACACGTGCAATTAGTCCGTCCGTAAGAAAACTGCCTTTAAAAAAGTCATCCATGCTCAAACTTGCAAACATTCTGCTCGTGTTTTATTTTATAAAAAAATTTATAATGAATAATTCATAAAATTAATTAAAATTTATTTACCCTTGGTCGATGGAGTTTCATTTAAAATTAAATATATGCTCTGCTGTTATTATCGGTTGCTGGAACAACTGATGATGACGATGACGATGGCGATGAGTGGGGTAATGATGATGAAGAAGACGATATTTTTAATGACTATCACAATCATGATAATGATGATGACGATGTTGGCAATGATGATGAGATGATGATGATGATGATGGCGGTGATAAGGAAGAGGGTGACTGTAATGACGATAAAAATCACAACGAGAAAATGATAATGAAGAAGATGATGATGGTGATGACGATGATGATGACAATGATGATGACGATGATGATGATGATAATGACGATGATGATGATGATGATGATGATGATGAAACAGGTGTGCAGTGGAAGGCAGCTGACTCATCAGAGGCGGTGGCAGATTTATTTGACTGCAGACTTCAAGAGTGGTTAGTTTTGTTTTTCTTTCCATCTTTCAATTTTTGTGTTTTTTTTCTTATTTTTATCTTTATTTTGCTATGATTATTTTATTTGTTTTTAGTTTGTCATAGTTATTTTTTTAAATTTAGTTTCTTACATCGGCGTTTGAGATTCCTTTTCGTTGAAAATTGAAAAAAAAATGTTAACTTTGAAGAGATTGTTCAATCAGAAGGTTGATTTGTCACATTACAAATAGTTATTCATGTTTCTTGCCTTTCTAAGTTGATGCTTCCAGTTCCACTAAATACGTTCATCCACCTAACTTTAGTTTTGACAAGTTTTTCACACATAAACATCTGAAACGCAAATGTTACAATTTCAACATGCCGTCACTCAAAGTCTCGTCAGAAAATATTTAAAATAAATATTTTATCATTTTAAATATATACATATATTTTATTTAATTTAAATAATTTTGGTGGACCATGTCTAAAAGTTTCAATTTAATAGTTTTCTCAGAAAAGATATGAGCAGCACATTCATCCTGAGATGTGAGGTTGCTTTGAGGGAAATTAACAAAAAATAATTTCAGAGTAACAAATTAAAATGATTTTGCTTTTACAAACAAAATAACCTTGCAAATGATTAATTTATTTAATTTTTAAAAACCTTGAACTGGAAATAAAACTTTCCAACCATCTTCAATTTGTTAGGCACTTTTAGCTTCTCATTACTTCCATATTTCAAATTTCCGTTTTAAAATATTTATAAAAACAAAAGTTTAATTTCAACCATTGTTACTGCTTCTTTGAGAAAGAATAAATTTCAATTAAAAATTACAATTTTCACGAAAGAACTCTTCAAATTTTTTCTTTCCGAAGCCCGCCAACATTAATAATACATTCAGCGCACCGTCATTCCCATGGTGCCCAACAATAACGTCATGTTTTTGACAAAATCATTCAAATTTTATAAAGTTAGGATATTTATTTAACGGCCATTATTTGATATAGTATCAGTCATGATTATTTGCCATCATTTGATATAGTATCATAGTATCATTCATGATTAGTGGTGTCGTACCGCGGTGACCATATATTGATAGTCAATTTATTCAATCCATTAAAAAGTAAATGTAAAAATCCAGTTAAAAGTTATTTTTATTATTTTCTTATTAAAATATCAATTTAATAAATTAATCATAAAATAATAGTTTTATAAATAAATCATCCATAAAATTAAAAAAATTTATTAAATATGTTTTTTAAAGATTTAAATTGAAATATTTTCGCTAGCGCAAAAAATGTTGACACACATCAAAAATAAGATGATACTAAACAAACAGATTTTCAAATTTATGTACGCTTGTGTGTGTGTGTGTATGTGTGTGTGTGTGTGTGTGTGTGTGTGTATGTGTGTGTGTGTGTGTGTGTGTGTGTGTGTGTGTGTGTGGACTGGCGTGGTGGGTGTTTATGGGTGTGATATCATATTTTCGTTATAATATTTTTTTGTCAAACAATACACCGATGTTGTTAGGTGTCCTTAACAAGAGCAATGTTGCTGGTTGCTTGTTACTGGTTGCTTGTTACTAGTTGCTTGTTACTGGTTGTTTGTTGCTGTTTTTTGGTTGCTGGTTGCACGTTCATTTAACTTCCTCCACTGCTGAGACTATCATAAAGTCTATCTTAGACAAACTAAAACATCAAGTTCTTACCATAGAACTGACGACATTGTGGTTGATAATGATGATGACGACAACGACGATAATGACAACAACAACAACAACGACAACAACAATGACAACAACAATGACAACAACAACAACAATGACAACAACAACAACAATGACAACAACAACGACAACCAGTGATTACATAAATGATAGCAACGGCTCCAACAATTGAAACTCTCACACACAAAGGCACGGAACTGAATCTCTGGATGATATTAAACCGATCTGAATGGAGGCGGGCTCTTAATGAAGGTTGCAACGCATACTCCCGTCCCTCCCTTCCTTATGAATTATAAAAACGTTTTGTTGCGCGGTTATGAGTCTATCCGAGGCAGTTTATGAATATCAATGGAACGTGGGTTGGTTGTCTGTCTAACAGTGAAACAACGGCCTCAGTGGTTGTAGTTGTTTTCGTTGTTGATGTTGTTTTTTGGTTGTCATTGTTGTTGTTGTTGATGTTGTTGCTGTTGTTGTTGTTGATGTTGTTGTTGTTGTTGTTGCTGTTGTTATTGTTGTTGTTGCTTTTGTTGTTGTTATTGTTGTTGATGTTGGTGTTGTTGTTGATGTTGTTGTTTTTGTAAAAGTGGTTGAACTATTATTATTGTTGTTTTATTGTTAGCATCTTTATAACTGTTATAACTCTAGTAGTAGTAGTAGTAGTAGTAGTAGTAGTAGTAGTAGTAGTAGTAGTAGTAGTTAGTAGTAGTTTTAGTAGTGGTGGTATTAGTAGTAGTAGTGGTGGTGGTAGTTAGTAGTAGTTGTAGTAGTTATTGTTAGTAGTAGTAGTGGTAGTAGTAGTAGTAGTAGTTGTAGTAGTAGTAGTAGTAGTAATTGTTGTTGTTGTAGTAGTAGTAGTAGTAGCAGTAGTAGATGTAGTAAAGGTAGTAAGTAATATTAGTAGCAACGAGAGAAAAAGTTTGGTGAAAAAACTAAAATAATGATTTCATTTGTTTAAAAGCAGTGATTCTACAAGCATCACATTAATACAACAAACAACTACAACAAACAACAACAACAACAAACAACAACAAACAACAACAACAACAAAAACAGCAACTTTAAAAAAACAACAATATCTGTAACAATAAAACCACAAACACACGGCAGTCTCAATAGTTTATTCGCTGTTAGTGAAGAGGTTGGCCCTGCTCAGATTTGTCTCTGAAATCGAGCAACAGTTTTGTTGCTGTTGCGAAGATGGTGTTGTTGTTGTTGATTTTGTTGTTGTTGCAAAGATATTGTAGTTGATTTTGCTGTTGTTGTGAAGATGTTGTTGTTTGTTGTTGTTGTTTTTTGTTTGTTGTGAAGATGTTGTTGTTGTTCAAAAAAGTTGTTGTTGTTGATATTGTTGTTGTTGTTTGTTGTTTTTGTTGTTGTTGGGAGAATGTCAAAATAGTTGTTGTAACGTTGACGTTGTTGAAATAGTAGTAGTTGTTGTCGTGACGTATTTGTAACAGTAATGTCATTTCTAATGATGGGTCACTCTTTTGATGATGACGTGGATGATGATTCTTATCCTAATGTTTTCATAACTTGATGTAATGTTAATGCGATGAATGTTACTCTATGGTCATTATGATGTTGTCGGCAGTGAAGTTTAAAAAATTTGTATGACCTTTCAACTGAGTAGGTAGATAGGTAGAGGCACGTCATCGTGACACGCCTGACCATACTGCAAAACTGACCATACTGGCCATGCATGTCGCTGAAAATTAATTCAATTTTTTTTGTTTCAGTAAAATGGCGTCTTATTATTTATTTTATACATTTTTATTATTTTTTATTTATTTATTATTGATTATGTTGTTCGATATTTACTGTTCAATTGTTGCAAAATGTTCATACATACTTAAATTATTCTCATTCATTGTATACTCGATGCTTGATAAAAGATGCTCTTATGTAGATTTGCTTGCTCAGTGTATCAATTTGTCAATTTTCTCATTCATCTATTCATCTCTCCATCCATTTGTTCGCCTTTTTTCATGTTTATTATTTGTTCCTAAATTTACCTCATTAAATCTTCCACTCATTCACTCATAACCGTTCATTTGTTAGTTCATTAAATCAAACAATCAATCATTCACTTATTAATCTACTTATTGATTTATTAATTCAAACATTCATTAAATTATTTATTCATCCATCCATCCATTTGTTTATTCATTCATCTATCAATCAATCCATACATTCATTTATCTATTCATCCATTCAATCTTTCAAACAATCTTTCATTCATTATTCATTCATTCAAACAATCATTCTTTCATTTATTCAAACAATTTTTCATTCATCCATTCATTCATTCAAACAATCATTCATCCATTCATTCATTTAAACAATCATTCATTCATTTCTTCAAAGAATTTTTCTTTCATCCATTCATTCATTCAAACAATCTTTCATTCATTCATTCATTCATTCATTCATTCATTCAAACAATCTTTCAGTCATTCATTCATTTCATTCATTCCTCGACGCAGGTACGTGAAGGCAGCAACGTCGGCGAAGGACGTGATCATTCTGTTGGACATCAGCGGCAGCATGAAGGGACTCAACATCGAGATCGCCAAGACCACCATCTCCAGAATTCTTCAGACCATCACTGCCGATGACTACTTCAATGTGCTCATGGTTGGTTGGTTGGTTGGCTGGTTGGTTGGTTGGTTGGCTGGTTGGATAGTTGGTTGGTTGTCTGGTTGGTTAGTTGGTTGTCTGGTTGGTTTGTTGGTTGGTTGGTTGGTTGGTTGGTTGGTTGGTTGGTTGGTTGGTTGGTTAGTCGGTCGGTCGGTCGGTCGGTCGGTCGGTCGGTCGGTCGGTTGGTTGGTTGGTGGGTTGGTTGGTTGGTTGTCTGGTTGGTTGGTTGGTTGTCTGGTTGGTTTGTTGGTTGGTTGGTTGGTTGATTGGTTGGTTGGTTGGTTGGTTGGTCAGTCGGACGGTCGGTCGGTCGGTTGGTTGGTAGGTCGGTCGGTTGGTTGGTTGGTTGGTTGGTTGGTTGGTTGGTTGGTTGGTTGGTTGGTTGGTTGGTTGGTTGGTTGGTTGGTTGGTTGGTTGGTTGGTTGGTTGGTTGGTTGGTTGGTTGGTTGGTTGGTTGGTTGGTTGGTTGGTTGGTTGGTTGGTTGGTTGGTTGGTTGGTTGGTTGGTTGGTTGGTTGGTTGGTTGGTTGGTTGGTTGGTCAGTCAGTCGGTTGACCAAAGAAAGATGATTAAGATGATAAAAATGTGATTTTGTTGTTTTGCGCAAAAAGTAAATGATTAAACAATTTTAAATTAAAAAAATATTTTTTCATGAGATCTGAATTCATGTTTATTTTTTTTTAAATTAATTGAAGATATTCACGTTTTTGAGACAATTTTTAATTAAAACAAAATTTTTATATTTTTGAGCAAATTTAAAACCTCAACTCTCTTTATGATACATTCAAATAGAAAGTGACCACCCAATACATTATACGATGCGTAAGCCTTCTATTGCGAAGATGAAAATAAACAGCATTGAAATAAATTCCAACCTAAAGTTTATTGATATGCAAGTCGGAAAATTACCATTTGTTACTTTCTATAACTTTTTAAATAATTGCTGTCTTTATATTATTCAATTGATTGATTCATTGGTCCTTTAACAAAAAAGATGAAATCCAGCATATTAATTTAATCTCCATGGTTATTCATGAGGCCAAATAAAACAAATTTAATATTTTTCAGAATTGGGTAAAATTTTAAAACTTGAAAACTTTAAACGACCCGCATGGGTCCTACGTTTTTAAAACGATGACCCCCCCTGTCTGTGTGGATATCCCGCGATGAGTTCAACGTGACCGATCTCATGAGCAAGCCATGATTTGAATTTTTCAATAATATTTTAATAAAAATGATAATAAAAAATGAATTTAATTTTACAACTAGTAGCTAAATTTTTATCTGCATTTAATAAAATTTATGATTTATTTTTATTTCCTCACTGTGCATGTTGCAAACTGAAATTGAAACAATTCAAAATAAAGAGCTCAGCTTTGCTCACTGTAGCGTACCTACTCACAATTAATTGGTTTACGTGCATGTCCGACACACACTTAAACGTGTTAATCGCTAGAAAAAGTGAAATTTGTAAATGTGAAATTTTTCTAAATCTTCTTACTTAAAAATATAAATGGAATAAAGTTTTAAAATTTAAGTTGGGTGTTAAATTATTTAACTTTAATTTTTTGTTTCTGTTTTTGTCTTTAATAGAGTTTCATAAACGTTTATCCTAAAACCGGTTGGGACATGGTGTAGAAAGAACTAAATAAGCAAAAACGCGACGCATTGGATCATTCGAACGCTGCATACAAAAATTTCATTTGCAGGCATTCATCACGAGCGAGTCTGTAATGGGCAGACACGTCAAATTATGAAGCGCAATTCGTCAAACCTCTGTGCTCAGGACTATTGTATACAAGCAACAAAATAAAGGAAAAAATTAAAAATGCGAGCAAATGATTGACCCAGCGCGTGCACCGCATTCACAACTCCTTTACAACGTACTCCTTTACAACGTACACTTTCATACAAATTTCCATAATTTGCTTGATGAGTAACATACGATGCAAGTGAACAAACGAAGGCAATTGTTAACAACAGCCAAGTATATAGATGTAAAATAAAAATTTGAAATTATAATTGTGGTGAAGTTATTACAATTTTTTTTAATAAAATTTCATAAGTACCCATCCAGAGCCCACGCAGCACATGCAAACAAGCGTACATCAGCGCATTAGGTTACACAATGCATGCTATAGGCATGGTCAAAGATCTATTTGCATTTGAAGCCAGTCTTTCACTAACAGACGTCCTACCCTTTGACGGCTCAACAGACGGTTTCATCATTTTCAACTTCAGCATAGAATATTTTCATCTTTTTCTTGCTAATCTTTAAAAAAAATAATCGATAGCCAGGCATGAAGTATTTGGACGCATAAACATTTAAATACGAAAGCTAGGAGTTGTTGATAGAAAAAAAAGAAATAATGCTCTGAAAAGTTAAAACTTAAAAGAACTTTCAATAACTTTATTTTTAAAGGCACAGTTATGATTAATAGAGTGAATAAAAAGTTGAAGATGAAGTCTGGGATTTGATGTAAAGGTGAATTTGCCGAGTCACACGAATGAAGAAGATTAATTTTGCGAGTTATTGTGAATTTTTTATTAGGACCTAAAATGATGAGGGAAAAAATTTGTAAACTTCGCAAAGAAGAATTTGATCCTTATTGCAAGTATTTGGAAAAACTTAATGTTGTCACCGAATTGTAATAAAATTACAACAGATCAAACGGTCATGTTTTTTAACAATCCCGTTGGTGCTTTTTGTAACTGGTGGCCCTCTGAGCTATTGAAACCATCCTTCGATACTCGTAACACAAATTTTTAAAATTGCAAATCATTTAAAATCTTCTTCTGCAGTTTTTATTTGCGTTGATTTAAAAAATGTTTATTAATTAACCAAGATACTTTTATACGGGAATAACTTATCTCAGGAAGCAATTGATGCAAAAGATTTGAATATTTTAAAAAACTGTATAGATTCAATTATTGGATGAATAATTTAAAGATGTTACTGTCACGCTACTACTGTAATCTGACTCAATGCACACACGTGCATCACAGCATATTGTTATTATATATATATATATATATTGTATTATATATCTATTGTGCATGTCCTAATTTTTGTTTAATATCGCCCATTGAAGTCCTAATACGAAATGTTAAATATTCGACCATTATGTAGAAATGTTATTCAGAAATGTTTTCTACCGTTACGTAGAATTGAATTAATTAGTAGCAGGCCGATAATATCGATCTTGTGATTGTGGAATGAATCACAGATTGATTCATCGTTGGAACATTACAAACATTTATTCTATAAATATGTAACTTCTATAATTTTATGGTTTTAATTCTGTTCGACTTCTGTTTGATTTTATTTAAGTCTTATTTTATGTCTTGCTTTATTTCATTTGTCTATTTTATGTCGCTCACAAGCTAAGGCTTCGAGTTTTGTGCTAAATAAAATTGTTTAAATTATTTCCATCATATCTCAGCAACATTTTTTAACTGAACCCAAACAGTATTCCGATGAAGTTGAGTACTTGGAGCCATGCTTCAATGGGACGTTGTTGAGAGGCACGGAGGTCTTCAAAGAGGTGAGGTCACAGGTCATGTGTTCAAACTTTTTCAAACGAAGTTGTTCATCAAATTTGATGTAACCGCAGATTGCTATTTTTAACCTTGATTACTTTTAATGTTGAATTTTCTTCATTTCTTTTAAATTCAAACAACTTGCTTTCAAGTTTGAATTTTTTTTTAAATTGAATTTGTGAACTGAACTGAAACGGCCTTCAACCAACCCACGAACGACCTGTCACTGGCTTGGCACGCAGCAAATACGTGAGAGCTTGATGCGGGTCCGCCCACACAACATCGCCCGCCTCAACCTGGCCCTCCATGCCGCATACGAACTCTTCAGCAGTGTCAGTGCATGCAAGCTTCAATTACCTATTTTATTTCCACATTTTCGTTTGTATTTTTCAAAGATTTTATTATTATTTTATTTTTATTATTATTAACATTATTTATTTGAATTTAAAGACAATTTGTGTACGATAATTATCAGGTTTGTCTTCATATTATGTTAATTTGATGAGCAAACAACATTTCCTTTTGATTATAATAATAGTTTGTTGAAGAAACTCAGGCAAATGTGTTTTTCTCACACTAACCCACCGTTCAACTAGCAGGCGACATCATACATTCCAATCCAACACAACATACAACAAAAATGCATTGACACTGAACATCAATGAAATGAATGAAACAAACATCGCAACAACATCGTCCAAACATCAACATCGTCCAAACATCAACATCACACAAAAGTACAACAACAATATCACAGAAACATCGTAACTGACAGCTAAATCAGCATTACAAAAGAAACTTTTCGCAACCACAAGAGCAAACATAAAACAAACAAGTGATGAAAACGCACCATCAAACAATTAAACTCGTCAATTATAATTAACACAGCGTAAAAACACACAACCAACCGCAACCAACCACAACCTACAACAACTCAGTCAGAATCAGTAGGTCAGAGCACCCACTGCCACAAGATGATCATGCTGATCACCGACGGAGGAGTGGGACCGTGCCAACATGTGGTCGACCAGTACAAACACATGCAGGTTTGTGGGCGATCAATGCTTCTTTTGTGTCTAACTATCTGTAGATGTTTGCTTGTATGTTTATGCCGTTCGTTCGTTCGTTCGTTACTGTGTTTTTTTATCTTATTTTGTTTGTTTGTGATTGCTTATAACATGTGAATGAGTGTGATATAATGTGTTTGTGTGAGTCGTATTAGATTTTTCAATCATATACCAGTAGCAGCGTGAACATTTGTAGAATTTTGCCTCAGCTGATTCAGCTGCCAGGACAAAAAAAAACGTTAAAAATTCAAACATGTGAACGTTCGTTCGGAGTCGATAAGCGTTCGTAATTTAGTGTGTGCAGACTCAAGTGCATGGGGGAGAATCAGTTGTTCAGGTGTGCGTAAATCACGATGAACATGCGCAGGTTTGTTGCTGCGTCGTACATGGATGTACGCTCTTCATGCATTTGTTTGTGTTGTCCCTGTTTGCGTGTGCGTGTGTGTGCGTGCATGTGCGTGTGTGTGTACGTGTATGTTGTTTTGTGTTGTTTATAAATGTAGTCTGCTGCATTTGTCTACTGTGTCGTCGTAACTGTCGTGATTGTATACAGATGATGATGGCTCTTTCCTTAAGCTGAAAATCCAGAGAAGTTCATGAGAATTTGTGTGTCTCTCTTTCCTTAAATACGCTTTCATTTGAATGAATTGCTTTTTTATTGTTTCTAAAAGTGAATTTATTTATTTGTTTTGCATTCGTGTATATTTACAGGGTTTACGAAAAATATTACAACTTGTCCAAGAAATTTTAAAACATCTCCAAAACTTTACAACATTTTTCAACATTTAAAATTAAACATGTTTTATTTGTCTTATTAAAAATATAATAAATTTTGTTGTGAATAAAAGCATTTTTTTCATTCAAACCGTCTCTACGCAACGCCTTATCCAAGAAATCTTTCAAGTGATTGCAATAATTTCTGCAGTTATCAGATGTGATTTCCTGGCTACATTACAAAACACTGGTCACACATAAGCTCAGACTAGTTTGCACATATTTGTGCCATGACTGATTTTTCCATTCAGAAAAATTTAGTGGTTAATAAAGATTGTAAAATATTTTGAAAATGTTGTAAAATATTTTTGAAACATTGTTACCCAGTGAATATGGGTTGCAACTTGATCGTGTCTCTTGGTGTATTCAGTTGGTGCCAATACTGGACATCCAGAGATCACGTGGCGAATGCTTTCAACATGTTTGTGACACATTCTACATAGACCATCAATGTTTGAATACTATTTTTTGAAAGTATTTAGTGTTTAATGCCTGATCTTGTGCAACTATTAAAAAGCTTTCGGTTTCTACTTTCAATCCTGAACTTCTTAACCATTTCCATGTTTTTATCAAATCTATTCCTTTTTCATTTACATAGTTAAAAAATTGACCATGTAATAGTTTACTTTTTACTTTTTTAAACGATAATCTTATAAAAGTTGTTTTGATTAGGCTACATTTTTATCTATAAATGGCGATTTTAAATTTTATTTACTTCTTTTGTAATTGAATGTTTCATTTTACTTTCATCATCTTTTGCAATTATTTCAATCAATCTATCTTGTCTGTTGAGAATGTACACGTTGAGGTCTTAATTGCTTTTTTGAAAGAATCTTCAATTCCTATTAGCCCCCTTCATTTTTGTTGAAATACAATCGATCAACATCAGCATTCGGATGATGTGCTCCTCACATATTTAGCAATTTCCTTGTTTTTCTGTCAATTTGCCGTAATTCTGATCTTCGCTACTCAATGATACCAAGGCTGAAGTTTATGATTGGGATTGCCAGACTGTTGATAGCCATCACTTTATGTTTTGCATTTGGCTGTGTCGTTAAAATCTATTCCACCCTATAATAGTATTTCTGTTTGAATTGTTTTTTCATCATTCACTGTAGCGTTCTTTTTGCATCCTCTATCCCAAGATATCTGTACGTTTCTACTGCATCTAAACATCTGAAGTGAATATCCTGATCATCAGTTATACGGCTGCTTAGCACCATGGTACCTCCATTATTATTATTATTTTTTATTATTATTAAATAATTTTAACTAAAAATCTTGAAAGTGTAAATTAATTTTTAAAAATGCTCGCACCTACAACACAGCTTCATCAGCAGCAACAGCCCCAACGGACCTATAGATCCGACAAAGGATCGTTTGATCCTCATTCACATTCCATTTTTAAGCTCTAACAAACTGCTTCAAAACATTTCCTAGAGTTTGACAGAATGTTTTTTTCATTATTTGCTCTCCACATCGCCTACCCTGCATAAACAGTGGACCTGTTTGAAGATGCACCGCTCGTTCCAATCGTAAAGTTGCCTGCACGTCTCTACGATCGAGCGTGCTGCAATTCTTCAGATAACGGAGAGCTTTACCCAGTTTTAAAAAGTGTTCATTTTTATTGCTGTTGTCTGTTTTTTTAATTTTACTATCTATATTGCTACTTGATTTTATAACTGAAGATCAGGAAATTAGACTTTTTTCTAATATGGTTTCATTTTAATGTTATGGCAAGGTGAAATGTACTTAAGATGATATGAAAATAATATTCTATTCAACAATAATTTTTGATAGAACGATAATCTTACAGCATATCAGCACACCAACCATCAAAAAACAAACACACAAATAAAAAAAAATAATTTTACAGTCAATCCAGAGATCTGAATTTTCAGCACACGGCATGGTTCTTTGCAGCTCAGTGCTTTCAACGTGGTGTTCCTCTCTTATTATCTGTCAATCATTCATGTTCGACACCACCACACATTTTTCTATATGACACACACTCACACACACATACACATACAAATAACAAATTTGTGTATACTACATATTCAATATTCATTCGAAAACAGATTCATATCACACATTCGTATCTAACACAGTATATTGGCGCCCGTCAAGCAGTCTATTTTGAGTGAGGAGTAAAGACGGCCCGGCACCAACCAAATGTTTGCCTGCTCGTAATCGCCTGTCAGCAAGCACCGTTCCCAAACTCGCCCGCCGCATCTGTGTTTAACCTATCAAGTGTTTCTGAGGTCATAATTATGGAGAAATCTAAAATAAACATTTTCAGTGAACTGTGCTATAAAACGGCATTCTTTCAATCTTGTCCAGGTAAAAATTAAGTCGCCACAATTAATGCATAACGTAGGAGGCCCGAAACAGAATAGAAGAATAATACTGTCGTCCGTTGTCATGTCAGTACTAACCTATGGAATTTTTGTCTAGTCCGATACTTTTAGAACTCGTGACACAAACAAAACTTTTATCGCTGTATCGAAAAAATGTTTTGAAAATCACCAGTGATTTCCGTACAGTTTCCGACGATGAGGTTTAGGTCATTGCTATAAAAATAACTGGCTAAAGAAAGAAAAGTCTTATATCAGCAATGAAAAACTACGGCACTGAGCAGAGAAAAACTAAAAATGGAAGAACGACAATACAACGTGCATCGATGGCAAATGCAGTGGGACTGTGCAACAGCTAGTATGTAGAGACTTATACCACAAATAAGTATCTGGATGAATCTTAAGCATGGTGAGGTAAAATACTACTTGACGCAAATATTCTCTGAACTGGATGCTTCCGAACATATCTTCATCGTTTGGACTTGTGGATTTTTCGGAATGCCCTTCTTGTCCGAGAATTAGAGAAGGTGCGGAACACGCATTTTTTGAATGTCCACGTTTCAATGGGTTCAGGAATAATCTGGAAACTGTTCTCAACAAGTGGTTGCGTTTCTTCCACCCAGGTGCTCAAAGCCATAAAGTCTTTTGGAAATGGCTCATCCGGGGGTCTCGACGGTTTGCGTCCTCAGCATCTCAAAGTCCTACTTTCCGGCCCCCTGCCAATTGACGACCTATTAAATTCCCTAACGAATTTTATAAATTTGGTTCTGTCGGGCGCCTGTCCACCCACGGTTTGCCGTTTTTTTTTTGGAGGCCGCCTGATAGCCTTGAACAAAAACGATGGAGGAGTTAGGCCAATCGCTGTTGGTAACTGTTGGCGAAGATTGACGAGCAAATGTGCTTTGAACCTGGTAATGGATGAAATGAGAGCCAAATTTTACCCGGTTCAATTGGGCGTTGGCGTGAAAGGAGGTGCTGAGGCCGCCGTTCACGCCGTTCAAAAATTGGTCACAGACCTCCCCAATCAATGGGGATTTTTAAAAATCGATTTTAAAAATGCCTTCAACGCCATGAGAAGAGATTCAATGCTGGAGGCCGTCAAATGTTTCTGTCCCAGAATATATAATTTCTGCCATTCTGCTTACGGCTTCGCTTCTTCGCTTGGCTATCACACCTGGGTGGTTGAATCGTCCGAGGGCGTGCAACAGGGTGATCCACTGGGACCTCTTCTATTTGCATTAACCCTGCATCCCTTGTTGGAAAAACTGTCGTCCGTTTTTATTTGTGGCTACCTGGACGACATTAGCATTGCTTCAAAAAACCAAACACTGGCCGAAAACTACAAATTTTTGAAAAACGAAGCCAACACCATTGGGCTAGAGTTAAACACCAATAAATGTGAACTCTATTTTAAAGATTCACTACATTTGCCACCGGTGTTGGCGGACGTACCCATTGTTCAAAAATCAAATTTAAGTCTTTTGGGCACACCCTTGTTCGAGGGCAACTCCCAAATTAAATTTTTTGATAAAAAGTTTTCAGAACTTAAGTTCGCCCTCGACCGAGTGTCTCATCTTTCCGTCCACGACGCCCTGACTATTGTCCGAAGCGCCCTCAGTTTGCCCAAAATGATGTATTTTCTTCGTACATCCAGCTACATTAACCCATCGTTGTTGGGCAGATTTGATGATGTTTTGCGTACCGCCTTGTCAGCCATTTGCAATGTTCATTTGGCTGACAGTGGCTGGTCCCAGGCTCAGCTGCCGGTGCGGTATGGTGGTCTGGGGTTACTCAGTGTGGTTCAGTTGGCACCAATCGTCTATAAATCTTCTGCCGCTGCCACTCTTGACCTCCAGTCCGCCTTGCTTTGCCGATTTTGTTGTTGCTGTGACATCCCACCACTGCCGACCACACCTGAAAGCCCTTCACAAGCTCAAATTTTAGATGAGCAATATAAGAAGACTTTTCATGAACTTCTGTCTTCTGGTGTCGGTGCTTCCTCCTCCGCCCGCTTATTGGCTGCAACTAGTGATGTTAGTTGTGGTTGGTTGAGGTCGTGGCCCAACACTTCCGTAGGCAACAGACTCGATGACGAGTCTGTTAGATTTGCCGTTGGTTTCAGACTTGGCCTAAGTATACAAAATAAATATTTGTGTCGTTGCGGCGCGGAGGCGGACCAATTTGGTCATCATGGTTTGGTTTGCCGTTTAGGTGGAGGCCGTCAACTTCGTCATTCAGCTTTGAATGATTACATTTGCCGGCTTTTTTCTAAAGCTTCTATTCCTGTTTTGAAGGAGCCATCTGGCATTTCAGTGCAAGATGGCAAGCGACCAGACGGTTGTACTCTTACTCCCTGGAGAGCTGGTAAATGTTTAGCTTGGGATGTTACGGTTCCTGGTACCTTGGCCGAGCGCTACGTTCACCTTACCAGCTAAGAATGTGGTTTGGCTGCAATCAGGGCATCGGACGAAAAAATCAAAAAATATGAACACGCCTTGCCTTCCTTAGACTTTTTGCCAATATGTATCGAGGTCCTTGGACCCATGGACCCCAATACTTCAAAATTTAATAAAACATTGTGTAAAATGATTGGTGTTCGGTCAGGTGACAACAGAGAGTTCTTTTTTGCAATAAACCACATCTCGTGTTTGTTGCAGCGATTTCTGCGT